GTGAGCAGCCGCCGCCGAGCAGCTCGCGGGGGCTGCCGGGTCCATTCCGCGCCGAGAAGCTGCGGTTTTTCTTTCGACTCGGCCAGGTCACCTCCAAAATGTGGAGAAATGGATTCATCCTCGCGGCTCCTGCGTGCGTCGGTCCACTCAGGGCGCATGCGCGGAGCCGGCCCGGCGCCTGCTACGCGTGGGGCAGCGGGCTGTCCCGGACGGAGCTTCCTCGGTGTCTCCCAAGGCCGGCGACAGAGCCAGGCGGGGGAAAAGTTTGGGGAGAAGAGCCGAGGGCGGCGGGGAGGCGGCGGGGAGCCGACCCCGGGCCCCGGCGGCCGGATGTCTCACCGGCCTCCCACTCGCTTTCTCGGAGCCGGGGGTGCGCGGGGTGCTGGGCTGCGCGCTCAGGGTCCGGGCCTTCCAGACAGCCCTGCAGGCCGGGACCCCAACCAGAATCAGCGTCCTTGTCACCAGCAACGTTTTCCGTTTGAGAGAAGGAAGACAAAATTCTCTCCCTGCTGTGGAGAAGGGAGGCCGCGCTGGAGCTGTGTCTAGTAGGAAGAATGAACTGGAAAGTGAGTCAGTGGCCAGTTCTTAATAGTTTCCAGAGAGTTCTGGGTACAGTAACCCTCACGCCGTTATTGCCACTGATACCTTGCTTTTTTTTTTTTTTTTTTAGAGGTTTTTGCCATGGGGCGTGTGCGCTGGCCAGACAAAGAGACAGAAAGCAGGAAATCACCTCCCAGGGGGGGGTGGACACGCCGCAATCCCTTCTCCTCCATTCTCCTCTCGGGATCTTGGGCACGCATGCACACGCGCCCAGCGTGAGTTTAAGCCACCCGGTCCGAGATTCGAACCGTGGTCGACTACATGGGAGTCTAGCGACAGAGCCATTACACTAACTGTTGGTTCCCCATACCTTGCGTTTTGAACCAAGAGAGTAAGACTTGAAAGCTGACTTCAGTTTGCCAAATAAAACAGAAGCGACTACTAATATACACGCAAAATTATACTTTTTTTTTTGGAGAGGTTTTTGCTATAGGGTGCGTGTGCTCGCCAGAGAGAGAGAGAGACAGAGACAGAGAGACCGGGAGAAATCACCCTCCAGGAGGGATGACCACGCGGCAATCCCTTCTCCATTCTCCTCTCAGGATCTTGGGCTCAAACGCACACGCGCCCAGCATGAGTTTAAGCCATCGGGTCGGGGGCTGGAACCACAGTCGACTACTTGTGAGTCCAGCGACATAGCCATTACACTAACTGCTGGTCCCCAAAATTATACATATTTTTTAAAAAGTTCATTGTTATTTACATCTCTCTATAAGGTAACTAATCATGATCATTATAAGTAGACCACCTTAAAGAGTGTGGTGAAATCCGTTTCCAGTTGGAGAGGTAAGTACTTGTTGAAAGTTGTAGGAGCCATTACTGTCCTGGACCGAGTCCCTGCCACAGGTCTCAGCAGAATAGAACAAGACAGAAAGCGTCACTTGTGTCAGAATGTCACCTCATAAGACTGAAACTTTAAGGAGTTGGATGGATCCCCAACGTGAACCAGCCTTTCCTGAGCACCTGAGACTTGTCTCCCTGAGTCAGTGCTGTAAGGAAGTAGACTTACACGGCTTGTGGCCTTCTTAAGAATGTGTCCCGAAATAGCTCGAGATGCTACCTGAAGTCATGGGACATTTTGTTTTCTGAGCATCCTTATTGCCCAAATGCATCCCTCCTTTCCCTTCTAGGGGGCTGTCTCCTCCAGGTACCATGAGGTGGTCCTGCTGCCCTTTCCGTAGAATTTAGCAGGTGCTTCTGTGCAGGACCCATGCACCGCCCCCTCCATCTGGGGCTTTTGCATTTAAGATCATCCTGAGATCTGTGACACATGGGTGCACGTTGTCATAGCCCTGTTGGGGTGACAGTCCTGCCCTTGGCCTTCTTAAAACCTTTGCTTGACTTGCTTTGGCTCACCTTCTCTTTGGAGGTTGCACGTGGAAGGGGCATACATAAAGGAATGTTAATGTAAAAGCAGCAGTACCCCCAAATCCACTCCTGGCCAAGCTCTTTTGCTCTTCTGTGAAAGGTTGGGTACATTTTTGTTTTTGTTTTTGAGACAGAGGGGGAGGAGAAAGCATCCCCATGGGGCACAGTCATGCAACAATCTCTTCCCTGTCTCTCCTTTCAGCATTTTGGGCACATGTGCATGCATCTGGTGTGCTTCTTAAGCTACCAGGTCTGGGACTTGAGCACAGCTGGCCATATGGGATAAAGATGCTTTAACCACGGACCTGGCCTTATGATTAATTTTCAAAACCTCCCACCCTACTCATAAAAAAATTAAGAATTTTTTTATTTTTAAAAAATTGCTATAGAGTATGTGCACTCACTAGAGAGAAACAGAGAGAGAGAAAGCAGCTCGATCCAGGACTTGAACTATGGTCTGCCATGTGGGAGTCAGCTCCTTACCCACCATACCACCTGCTGGTCCCTCCAATTTTCAAAAATTGATTCCCTTAGTATGGTCAGTGACATCTTTAGTTAGTGCATAGCATTAACCTCAGTCACTCTGATGTCGGTGTGACTTCAGTGCTTTAGGGAGCATCGGTTTCATGTCCCCTGGATACACACAGCAACAGCCTGACTGTGTGGTCCCCGCAGGCCAGGATTATTCAATACTAGAACGGTTTTGGCTTTGTAGATTAGAGGGTGATTGAAGATTGGATTGAAACAGAGATGAAGATACTCCGTATCTTATAAAGTATGAATCGTAAAAGAAGGCTGAAGCCTAAAAAGAAAAGGTGTATTATTTGAACCGGGGCTCAGGCTGAATTCACCCAGATGAACACTCTGGTATCCCAGGCATGTGCTCGTCACCTTGGCAACAGAGAGAGGAGAAGAGCAGAAGGTACAGGTGGTTTGGCAAGAATGGTTGGGTACACGTTATTGTGCATAGTGTACTAGAGGCTGCCGGAAGAAGGAGTAGGAGTCACATTGTAAAAATCTGGCATCTTTTGTAGGTTACATAGTTTTAAATAGTTATGGGTGTGACCAAGTCTCAGACCCTGCCTTGGTAGGGGAAATCTCAATTATAAATGGACCTCCTATTCCAAGCAACATGGAAGATGCTATGTCGTTCTCTGTCATGAAAGCAGATTCTCGCTTAAGTAACTTCCTCATTATCTTGTTTTGATATTTGAAATGTCTATACAAATTTTAGAATGGCAAAAGTGACTGATTGGGTTATTAAACTTTCTGGTTCTGGTCTTGAAATCCAGAAAACAAACCAAGCCCAAAGACTCATTCCTGGGTCTTTAGTTCTCTAGGATTCTACTGGGTAACAACTGTAGGTAAAAGTGTTACCTGTAGGGCTAAATAAGGCAACTCTGGATGTGTTTTAGATACAACCGATGGAGACTACCTCTGACTTTTTTGCTAGAATATAGTATAAAGTGTGTGGCAGTTTGAAAGCCAGCATCTTCATTTTGAAAGATCTGCAGCTAAACACTTCTCCCGGGGAGTCATGCTGGCATCTCAAAGTGCAGAAGCAATGTGCCATGCCAGGAGACTTCTCATCGTCAGCCTCCATCACGTGCCCGGGGAGGCTTGCTCGAGAACCTGGGTGTCTGGCACGTGTTCTTGCTTCTTGGCAGCTTCCATGCCCTGCAGAACCCCAGCCCCCAGCCCCCAGCTCCAGGTTCTGCAATGCAGTTTAGTGGTATTTGTATTGAAGTGCATCACCTTTTCCCCTTCTACTTCCAAATCTTACAACCAGTTTCCTAACACAGCCTCTTCGCTTTCCTGCCCTCAGTGCTCTCTGGTGCCTTTTGAGTAATCTTCTCCCTGATTTTACCTCCAGAGATCTCAATTTCCTCCTTTCCTTCTCGTGCTGAAGCCTGCGTCTGACACCAGCATGTCTGGCATCTTCGTCTTCTCATCCCACTGTAGTAATTGCTCTTCAACGTACCAACCCCAGATCCTAGATCTTACAGTGGTGGGTCTTCCTGGATGTGGAGCTTGCTTCACATGGGGGTCTTCAGAAAAAAGAATGCATAGATAATTCATATTTTGAAAAACTATGTATGAATTTTAACGTTCTTGGCACCAAAATAAATATGTCCTTTAATTCCATTTTCTTGCATAGTTCTTTGAAGTTCCTTTCATACGCCCAGTGAATCTCAAGGAGGCTGAGTTCCGTTGGATAATAGAACAAAATTGTGCAGATTGCTATTGTAATAAATTTCAGGTTTTGTGTCAATTTGGGCTCTCAACTACTTCATCGTCATCCTTTCAACAGCGACTTCTTGTTCAAGTGCCTGTACTCGCTTCACTGTGAGCAGATAGTCTCGACTTCTACTGAGAAATTTGAATTGATCAAGCCTTAGGTTGCTTCCATGTTGACACCCAGCACTGTCTTTCACCGCCCTGCGTCTGATCATGCCTGAGTTCTAACACCCTTTGTGATTCCCACCTGGGCTGATAGCTGGTTTGCACCGAGCGCTCGGCCTCATGCTTGCTCCCACCCTCCTTGGTGGTCTTTCAGTTCTCCAGTCTTGCATGTTTCTTGTCAGCCTCATAAATTCGCTCTCCCTCTGCTCTGCCTCAAACGCTGCTCCCTGCTGCCTTGGGGGATTCATTCCTGGAGTTTCAGGGAGCACATCCTTGGGAAACCTTCATGGCTTGTGCAGTGGATTGTCTGGGTGTTCAGGGCTTCTCTAGTCACCTGCCCTTGCTGCGGGAGGTTCATAGCATCCCTGCTGCAGTGGTCACGTTTCCTGGGACCCTCTGAGCAAACCTAATGGCCGAGGAAAGACCCCGCCTGACATCCACAGGCTGGGTTGTCTTGTCCACCTGACCAGTGATGGACATTTTGGTCCTGGAGGTCCTGTGATGAGTGTTTCCATGGCATGTGGCTGTCGTCACATGCGGGCCATCTGAGAGTGCCCATGGTCCTAGCAAGGCTCGGAATTCCCTCTATTGGTGAGGAGCCAAAATATGACACCCCAGAAATACTTCTTTGGCATATTTTGAAATGACTATTCAGAGGGGCTGCAGACACAAGAATTAACTTTTGTTTTTCTTTTAAAGCTAATGTTAGGGCCAGCAGGTGGCATGGGTTAAGATACTGGTCTCTCAGGACAAGCAGATGGCGTAATGGTTGCATTGCTGGACTCTCATGTAGTCAACCATGGTTCAAGTCTCGGACCCAGTGACTTAAAACTCACACTGGACACATGTGTGCCCCACATCCCAAGAGGAGAATGGAGAAGGGATTGTGGTGTAGCCACCCCCACTGGGGGGTGATTTCTTGTCTCTCTGGCGAGCACACTTGCCTTATACCAAAAATCTCTCATAAAAAAAATGTTACTGGACTCCCTCATGGCCTACTGTAGTTCCAATCTCAGACCTGATGGTTTAAAAATCACGCTGGACACGTGTGCATGCGTGCCCAAAATCCCAGGAGGAAATGGGAGGGGAAGGGATTGTGGCATGGCCATCCCCCTGGGGAGAGTGATTTCTCACTTTCCCTCTGTGTCTCGCTCTGGTGAATGCACACACCCTATGGCCAAACAATGAAACAAAACACCTTAATTTAGAAAGCTAATCTTTTGTATAAGAAATGTACACTTATCTGTATCAGTAGAAAAGCAGCAGGTGCAAGCAGGCATGCCCATGTACCCTGTACCTCCGTAAGAGCAGGAAGGAGGCGAGAGGTAGGGAGCCTGCTCGGGGAGGACTGCATTTCCTGCCCTCCTGATTTCTTAGCTCAGCTCCAGAGCTCCTCTGTCCTGCCAGGCACAAAACCTTAAGTCATTTGGCCTTCTCTCGGGTTGTATTTTACATGGCTCCCGTGTGCACGTGTGTGTGCTAAAATGCATCTGTGTGCCTTTTCTCTTATTAATATACTCACTGTCAGAGATTTTCAGCAGAGCCTCAGGGCAAGGGGATCCCTTCACCCTACATATTTTAATCCTGTAAGGCAAGTAACTTTGAAATAATTATTTCACTTTTCATTACCCTTTTCTGCTTTCTTCAGCCCTCCCCTGCTTTTTTTTAAAGAGAGATTTTTGCTACGGGGCATGTGCACTTGCCGGAGAGACAGGCAGAAAGTGCCCATGGTCCTAGCAAGGCTCGGAATTCCCTCTATTGGTGAGGAGCCAAAATATGACACCCCAGAAATACTTCTTTGGCATATTTTGAAATGACTATTCAGAGGGGCTGCAGACACAAGAATTAACTTTTGTTTTTCTTTTAAAGCTAATGTTAGGGCCAGCAGGTGGCATGGGTTAAGATACTGGTCTCTCAGGACAAGCAGATGGCGTAATGGTTGCATTGCTGGACTCTCATGTAGTCAACCATGGTTCAAGTCTCGGACCCAGTGACTTAAAACTCACACTGGACACATGTGTGCCCCACATCCCAAGAGGAGAATGGAGAAGGGATTGTGGTGTAGCCACCCCCACTGGGGGGTGATTTCTTGTCTCTCTGGCGAGCACACTTGCCTTATACCAAAAATCTCTCATAAAAAAAATGTTACTGGACTCCCTCATGGCCTACTGTAGTTCCAATCTCAGACCTGATGGTTTAAAAATCACGCTGGACACGTGTGCATGCGTGCCCAAAATCCCAGGAGGAAATGGGAGGGGAAGGGATTGTGGCATGGCCATCCCCCTGGGGAGAGTGATTTCTCACTTTCCCTCTGTGTCTCGCTCTGGTGAATGCACACACCCTATGGCCAAACAATGAAACAAAACACCTTAATTTAGAAAGCTAATCTTTTGTATAAGAAATGTACACTTATCTGTATCAGTAGAAAAGCAGCAGGTGCAAGCAGGCATGCCCATGTACCCTGTACCTCCGTAAGAGCAGGAAGGAGGCGAGAGGTAGGGAGCCTGCTCGGGGAGGACTGCATTTCCTGCCCTCCTGATTTCTTAGCTCAGCTCCAGAGCTCCTCTGTCCTGCCAGGCACAAAACCTTAAGTCATTTGGCCTTCTCTCGGGTTGTATTTTACATGGCTCCCGTGTGCACGTGTGTGTGCTAAAATGCATCTGTGTGCCTTTTCTCTTATTAATATACTCACTGTCAGAGATTTTCAGCAGAGCCTCAGGGCAAGGGGATCCCTTCACCCTACATATTTTAATCCTGTAAGGCAAGTAACTTTGAAATAATTATTTCACTTTTCATTACCCTTTTCTGCTTTCTTCAGCCCTCCCCTGCTTTTTTTTAAAGAGAGATTTTTGCTACGGGGCATGTGCACTTGCCGGAGAGACAGGCAGAAAGTGAGAAATCACCCCCCAGGGGGCTTGGCCAAGCCTCAGTCTCTTCTCCATTCTCCTCTCAAGATCTTGGGCACGCACACACGCCCAGCGTGAGTTTTAAATCACCGGGTCCCAAACCGTGGTTGACTGTGGGAGTCCAGCAGTGTAACCATTATGCCATCTACTGGGATGTTTATTCTATTTTGTGGGATAAAATGCTGCCTAATTCTAGAATTACGAGTAAAGGCAGGTAGATTTTTAAATTAAATTCAGCATCACTTTGTTTCTCAGCAGTTCTGGTGACCACGAAGGGACCTGAAGAAGACTTCCATGACCCCGAGAAACCCTCAAGGCATTCGCATTGCAGGCACCACTGACGGGGCTCACCTGTAACCAGACATGTGTGAAGAACAGCCTGGCCACTTGTCACACAGCCAGCTGGTTTTGGGGACAAGGAGACTGCTCAGAGGGAGGCTTTATTATGAAGATATCAACGGGGAGCGACGTAGAGGTTGAGACTCTCAGCACCGACTGCAGGACTTGGGGGGACGCAGGTCCGATGTGAGGGTCTGGGGCAGGCGAGGTACTTTACCCAAGACCATGAGCGCACCCTCTTACTGTGGGCCTTCCGGGACCGTCTCCCAGCCATCTTCGATGGCTGGAGCGCTTGTCCCATGCTGGCAGTCTTAAGAAGGGCCCGGAGCAAGAAGTTACGGTCAGCGCTGTTCTGGGCGAAGGACTCAGGCAAAGAGCCCTTAGGGCACCAGAGTCTCCTCACCCTTCAGTGCTGCTCGGGACTGTGTCCTGTGAAAGTTGCACCATCGAGGCCATCATGGTGGTCACAGATGTCACCGGAGTGTGCAGAGAGTATCGGTTATTCAGGGAGGAGAGAGCGTGAGCTCGTCTTAGCCTGCACAACCAATTACTAGGATTCTAGGGCCTGTTTCTTTTTTTTATCTGGTAAATACTGTATGTAAGGCCAAAGACGGGTTATTTTTCACTTCGCAGGGGTGTCTTCCTCACGGAGCACCAGAGGTCACAAGGTCTGAGTTCTACCCTCTTCGCATTGAGCCCCAGCCTGTTTTGGCGTCCTAATCTCGGTGAGTGTGCTGTGAGGAGCACGTGACCTCTTTGGGGTTTGTGGTGACCCGTGGGTCACTAGGGCAGCCACCGTTTTTTTAAGGCAGGCTTGTGGCAGATGCAGTAAGGGACAGTTCCTGCTAGGTGGCGACTCCGTCCTTGGGAATCCCCAGTGGTTCTGTTCCTTGTTTCTCGCATGATAAAGTAGGAGGAAATCACTGGCCAAGTTGGTCAGAGGACTCTGAGAGCCAAGCCAGAGTTTGACTGCTGGGCACGAGCAGGACACCTAAAGGCTGCTTGAAGACTTCTCTTCTAAAAATAAGACTCCCGAGAGAAGATAGCCTGGGTCATGGGATATGTTAGTTTGACACCAGGCCATGTGCTAGCCCCGAGAAAATTCCCACGCAGTGAAAAGCGTGGGGCTGACCCCATGGCACAGTGGTAAAGTGCTGCTAAAAAAGAGCAGTTCCGCACGACAGCCACGGTTGAAGGATCTGACCTGATCAGCCTGAAACAGGCCAGGCGCAGGCGTGAATGCCCGAGATCCGACAGACTGGGGAGCTGGAGGAAGGGAGTCCCGCGTGACCAGACCCTGTGCAGGGTGCTCCTCTCTCAGGTGCACAAGCACTTTACCACGCAGTAAAGGAAAGAGTACAAACTACAGAAGCCTCGCGAAAACATTGCACAGCCCAACCCCACGGCATTTCCCTCTCCAGCCTTTATCTCAGCTCCGACAGCCCCAAGATCCAAGGTAAAAATAGGATCCTTGATTTCTGAAGGACCAAGACCATCTTCCGGCTACACCTGCCTTTGACTTGTGTAAGTATACGCAAGCCCCAGAAGCTGCACATACTCACAACAATGGCAAAATCTTACTAAAGCTAATTTAGAATTATAGTAGCCTCTATGAAGAACGTTGCAGATCGACAAGAGTGTTTATCTAAGAAGTGCGTCCGAGGGCCCACCCACAGCCCCGTGGTTAAGGGAGCTGGATTCCATATGGCCCACTGTAGTGTGAGTTCCAGTCACAGTAGCTTGAAAGAAACCCAGGTGCATGTGCACGTGTGCCAGGGTCCCAGCAGGGTGGGAAATGGATGAGAAGGGACTGTGGTATAACCATGGCCCACCTGGGGTGCTTCCGCCTGCAACCCCCGTCTCTATCTGTCTCTCTCTGGTGAGTGCACATACCCCCGACAGTTAAAAAAAGAAGAAGAAAAGAAAAAGAAAAAGAAAAAGAAAAAGAAAAGAAAAGAAAAGAAAAGAAAGGAGGGAAGAAAGAAAAGTGCAGTTGAAAATAAGTGTTCCTGAATGGGACCACCCCAAGGATGCTTATTTTAATTGATACACAGAAGCTTCTAAAAATATTTAAACAAACAAACAAACAGAACTGCCTCTGGGGTCAGACAGGGCAGAGCAGTGAAATGCAAGGTGCCCTGAGGCAGTCCCCTTTGCCCCACAGACCTCCCTGGGTGCGCTGGGAACGTGTGAGCCCACAGTTACAGACTGCTAGGAGTAGACTGAGGTATCAGGGTTATTTTGGGGTGCTTTTTCTTTGTTTCTCTCTCATCCATGGAATAAATAAGCTTTAAAAATATTTAAAAAATTTTAAAACCTTTCCTTTTTAAAAGAGGTTTCTTGCAAAAGGGCAAATGGGAAACTTAAGCATCTAATTGGTAAGAAAAGTTGAATTTACTAACCTGCTTTTCTTTTCAAAGATGAAAAGAAAACTAGATGAAGTATAAAAGTAAAACCTCCAGGTCAGCCAAGTTTGTATCTTTAGCCACCTTTATGCTCTGATGAAGTTCTTGAGCCCAGAAATGTCCCTGCTAAGGCCAGGCACAGAAGATGCTTCCTCTGCCCTATTGGTTAATGGCCTCCTCCCCAAATTTAGTAATCTAGTCCAGAAACAGGAGCTAAGTTGAAAAGCTGCCTATCTAACTAAAGTGATTTCCAAAATACACATTCCTTGCATTCAGCTGGTTATTTTGAAACACTTTTTAAACCTTTACATCTCTAAAGGAAAATCATGGAAGTTCTTACAGTGCAGGAAAGCATGAAATCTGCATAGGAAAGCTCCCTTCACTGACCCCTCACTCACTCTACTCACCCTCCTTTGTCTTGGCCGATGATGGTGTTTAGACCTGAAGTCTCAACTCTGCCATTGAGACATACCTTTTCTACCTTTTTTTACTAAGGACCATCTCTTTGAAAACATTTAGGATAGAACATTTTTAGATGGTTACTAAAAATGATATGAATAGGTCCAGCAGGTGGCATGGAGGTTAAGGTGCTGGATCCCATGTGACCAACTGTATGACTCAAGTCCTGGACCTGGTGACTTGGAAAATCATGCCAGGCATGTGTGGGTGTGTGCCGAGAATCCCGAGGGAAATGGAATAGGAGGGATTGCAATGTGGCCATTCTCCCTGAAGGGTGATGTGATTTCTTTCTCCCTCTCTCTGTCTCTCTGGCAAGCACACGTACCATATAGCAAAATAAAAATAAAAAGTAAAAGAGGATGAATAAAACATACAGTGATAAGGTTAAAACAAAGGTTTAATCTATTTAAGATTGAAAGGACCAAAGAGACCCTCTTTGAGTCCCCCCAACATTACAAGGCCCCATGTGGAGGAATATAATATAGTTAGCAATTTGTTGTATACCTAAAAGTACCCCCAAAAGAGGATTCTGCATGTTTCCAACACAATAATAACAAATGTTGAAGACTTAATCACTGCACATCATACCTTTGTACTGAAAAATCACATTATACCACACAAATGTGTACGATTATTATGTGTTAATTGAAAATGAAAAAATATATAAAGAAAAAGATAAACAATCCAGTAGATCACATGGGCATGAAATTTGAAAAGGCATATTCATAAAGGACTGTGTCTCAGTGGCCAATGAATCCATGAGGAACAAGGAAAATGCAAATTAAAGCCTCAACAGTTCGGCCCGCCCCACAGCCTGATGGTTAAGGAAGCTGAACCTCACCTGACTGGTTGTGCTTCTCACTTCAAACTTGTGAGATCCTTTCTTTGGCTAATTTCAGAAAAGTGGAGTTATTTAAATAAAGTGCATGCATTTTTAAAGCTTTCTTGAAAGTTTTTAAAAAAGATTTCATGTTGCCAAATTATTTTCCAAACAAGCTGTGATGGGATCGCCATCAAACGTAGGAGAACCCCAATTCTGTCCGCCCTCAACACTGGGTCTCGTCGTTTCATTAAACTTGTCCAGTTTGATCAATTGCATTCTTTCTTCTGCTTGAATCTGCATTTCTTTGATAATTAACCATGTTGAACATTTAAAACTATGTTCATCAGCCATTGTAGGCCTTCTGTAAAATAAATTGGGAGGTGCAATTGTTCTTACTGTTTTTAAAAAATATTTTTATAGACTAAGATGATTATTTTTTAAAATTAGTTTTTAAATTTTAGTTATTTATTTATTATTGTTTAAATCTGACCAGAGAGAGACAGAGAGAGAGAAGGGGAATGTGAGAAAGCAAGCTGCCAGGTCTGGGACTCGAACCACTTTCAACCTTGTGGGAATCCAGCACCTGAACCACCACACCACCTGCTGGCCCTAAAATAAGATTATTACTATTTTGCTGTCATATATGTGCTTTTCCCATTGAGCCTTTTAATCTTGCTGATACTGTTTTTAAAAGTAATATTTTTGTTGTAAAGTAGAACATGGCTGTAGAAGATCGCATGAAAATATAGCTTAGTGAATCATTCTAGGACAGATGTCCTTGTAACCTCTTCTCAGGCGACACGTTGAGCTTTTATCTCCCAGAAGCTCCTTCAGACGCTGCCCCGATCCTCCTCACTCGCCCTGCTAGTCACCACTGTGCTCACTCTCTTCAGTGTCTTCTTCATGTGTCTTCACAGTTTTATCACTCAAATGTGCCTCATAGGCTATGCGGTTGAATGTTGCTGTATTCTTTATTTATTATTTTTAAATTCAGATTTAATTCACATGTAAAATTCACCCTTTAGAAATGTACAGTATAGGGGCCAGCAGGTGGCGTAGTGGTTAAGGTCTGGACTCCCACATGACTGACTAAGGTTCAAGTCCTGGACCCAGCAGCTTAAAACTCACGTCAGGCCCGAGTATGTGCTTATCCAAAATCCTGAGAAGAGAAGGGATTGTGGTGTGGCTATCCGCCTGGAGGGTGATTTCTCACTTTCTCTCTGTCTCTCTCTATCTCCCTGGTGAGGAGAGGGTGTTATCTCACCCACAGCAAAAAGTTCTCTTTAAAAAGTAATATGTGTGTGTGTGTGTGTGTGTGTGTGTGTGCACGCGCGCACATGTCCATAAAATTCAGTGTTCTTCATTACATTCCCGCAGTTTTGCAGCCACGGTTGGTGTCTAACTCTAGGACATTTTCCTCACCCATCAGAGAAATGCTGTCCCCATTGGCAGTCACTCCCCATCACTCCTGCCCTGACAGACACCTGTCTCCTTCCTGTCCCTCTGGAGTCGCCTTTTCTGGACATCTCCTGTAAGTAGATCCTACAATATGCGGCTTTTCGTGTCTGCATTCTTTTACTTCACATAGTGTTTTCAAGGTGCATCGACGTTGTACTAAGTGTTAGCATCTTCTTCCTTTTTATAGTCGAATACTATTCTGCTGTATGCGTCTAGCACAGTTTGCTTATCCGCTCCTCGACTCTGGGACATTTGTGTGGTTTCCAGGTTTTGGCTAGCATGAGTAATGCTGCTATAGACATGTGTGTACCAGTTTTTGTGTGACCACACGTTTTTAATTCTCTTGGGCATGTATTTGGGAGTAGAATGGCTGGGTCATATGGTAACTCTATGGTTAAATTTTTGAGGAAGTGCCAGACTGTTTTCTACAACAGCTGCCCCGTTCTGTATTCCCATCAGCCACGAGCCAGGGTTCCAGTTTCCTTGCCAACCCTTGTTACATTAATATGTCTTTTAAGACTCTTATTCTGTAGGCTGCCTGCCCCCACCCCACTCTATCCCTTTCTTTTCCTAATAATTTACCTATTAAAAAAAAAAAAAGCAGGCTTTCTGCTCTCTAGTTTCTCACAGTTTGGATGAGTTTCACTCATGGTGAAATTTAAAATGTCTCATTTCTGCAAATTGGCAGCTGTGTCCAGACTGGATCAGACTGGGTTTGATGTGTTCGGCGAGGGCTGCGGATGGTAGGGTGGTTCGTTCATGACGAGGCACGTGATGTCTGAGTGTCTGCAGTGTTAGCAGCTGTTGATGCTTTAATGCTTTGACCCATTAAACATATGGTGATGTTCAAATCTGACCACTGCTCTTCCCTTTGCTGGCTAGAACGTTTCTATGAGTGTAGTTTTGTTTACCCGAGCCATACAGTTCATAGAGGATACAGTTCATACGGGAGAGGAAAAGTAAATCCTTGATCCAGTGCTTTATTAACCAGTTTTCCGGGATAATTAACTGGTTTCCTATCAATCTCTGAAAGAGACTAATTCAGCTTTTAAAAACATCATCATGATGAACTCTTGGATCTAAATTCATTTGATGGGTTTCAAGCCTTTGCAGTTATTAACCTTACTGAGAGTCTGTTGATTCTTACAGATCCTCTTCGAGTTGGCTATGCATAGTTATTTTTACCATGACCCTAGCAGTCTTTGACACCTTCCCTTTTTTTCAGTTTGTGCTATATATAAGAAGTGTGTGCTCACTGGAGAGAAGTGAGGTGGAGGGAGTGACGGAGAATGGCCACACCACAATCTCCTCTCCTCCATTTCTCCTCTTGAGATTCTGGGCATGCACGTGCATGCACCCAGCATGTTTTTTAAACTGCTGGGTTCAGGACGTGAACTGTACTGTTGGCCATCTAGGATCCAGCAGCCTTAACCACCATGCTGCCAGCTAGCCCAACAGCTTCCTTTTTTCATGGCATTACAAGATGCTCCAAGGTCTTCTGTATCTTCCTTTATAGACCTGTTAGCCCGTCCTCCAAGAAACCACTTACTTACTTTTGTATTTTTGTGGGACCTCACTCCTGGTTTTAGTGTCTGCCATCAGGGCAAGCCGCTGGCCATGCAGGGACTCTCTGGGGCTGTTTCGGGAGTGCTCTGCTCAGAGCCGTCCTTGCCTTTCCTTCCCTCTGCCTCCTCCTGCAGGGGTGTTCTGCCAGGCAGGTGTTGTAGCTTGCATTTTAGGGTTTCTGGGAACACCCTGTTGCCCACATTTGCCGTTAATGTTGGCCAGGACTTTGACTTTGTAATCTAGTTTCCCTGTTACTGTGTGGTGATTCAAGAAGTACTAAAAATGATGACTTCTGTGCCACTACCATTTCCCCAGAATGTTTGGGGATACATATGTATTTTTAACTTGGAGAAGTCTTACATTTTAATGGGGTCACATTTATCAGTCTTTAATGTGAGCGTATTTTGCTTCTACTTTCATGTTTAGATAAATTAGAAAGGCCTCCTCCATTCTTCACTCAGACAGGTCGTCTCTCTTGTATTTTTAAGGAGTTTATTGCAATTTTGGGGGGTTAAAAATTGTAAAGCATCTGTAATTTATTTCGGTTCGGTAAAATTTAGGGGTCTGCCTTTATTTTTCTAAGTAGCCATTTTCCCATTTAGTTATCGTGGAGCTGATCTAGAAGACTTTGTCTCTGGTCTTTGAGCCCTCTCGTCATTCCCACCAGCCTGCGAGTTTCTGTGATCACAACACACTATTTTAGTGACTACACTTTATATGTATCCACATCTGGTAAGTGCAGGAATCTTCCTTTTATTGGAAAGAATAATCTTCTTCAACATTTTCTTAAATACTCCTTCCCATGTATTATTTAAGAGGACTAATAGAACAATTTCATCAATCTCACGGGTGTTTTGACTGAAATGCCAAATAATCTGGAGAGAAATGATATTTTCACAACATGGGAATTTTTCCATTTAGGAAGAGTATATGAGAGGATTTCACAAAGTTCATGCAAAAGTAAAACCTATGTATAAGTTTATTTTGGTGAAAAAAAATTCCAAATTCATGCCATTTTTTTAAACAATACATGTTCACATATTACATTGCATATTACAGAGATGTATCTTTGCAATCTTTTTTTTTTTAAGTTTTTTTTACCTGCACTCACCAAAGAGGAGAGAGACCTAGATAGTGAGAGGAAAAGTGAGAAATCACCCCCCGGGAGAATGACCGTGCCACAATTCCTTTTCCTCCACCCTACTCCTGGGATTTTGGGCTCACATGCACACACGCCAGGTCTGGGACTTGAACCATGGTTGGCCATGTGGGGGTCCAGTGGTTTAACTGCTATGCCACCTGCTGGCCCTATCTTCTTTTTGTAGACCCATTGTACTTTTTTATTTAGTCTTGTCATCTAGAGGAAGATCTTTTGGTCTTGAGAAATGTTCTTTCAATTTCTTCCTGTAAGTCATCCAAATCTCTTCCTGATTAGAAAAGAACGATTGGTAATTTCCTTCTTCTAAGAGGAAGGATAATTCCAGAGGACGGGCTGCTGACTCCCCCAGGAGTCAAATGTTGCATCGCTCCCAGTTAGAAACCTGCAGAGGCAGAAGTGAACCAGGCTGTGGCCGTCGTGAGCATGCCCGTTGTCGCTCTCTGACCATGGAGAGCTGATTATGCAGGGCCCCTGAGCAAACCCAGTGCTGCATTTGCACGAGGCCACATGCACAGCTAAGTGGGGCCTGGCTGCTAAGGCAGACCTGTTCCTGGGAGACAGAAGCTGGCCTACTCAGGAAATAAAATAATGCTGCTTCTTTTATCTATTAGTTGTTGGAATCTCAACGTATATCTCTTTTGACTGCCACCGTTATCGCTGACATATTCCTAGCTGGCTTACTGACCCACGGAAAGAAAAATTGTTCCTTGGTGCTGTACGATGTGAGAGTAGGCGATAAGGGCAATAAAACAAGGTCCTTAGTCTTTTTTATACTCTTGAAGTCAGATAAAAAATGTGTTAACATTTTGGGGCCAGCAGCGACTTAGAGGTTAAGGCAGCTGGATCCCATGCAGCTGACTGCACAGTTCGAACTCCTGGCGAGTCCGTGATGGCATGAAAAACAGGCTGGGTGCGTATGCATGAATGGCCCAAATCCTGAGAGTGAAATGGAGGAGAAAGGACTGCAGCATCGCCACCGAAAGATGATTTCTCTCTTTTCCGTTCTCTCTCTCTCTCTTGAGAATACATGTGCCCTGTAACAAACTATAAACAAACAAAACAAAAAATTGCTAGCATTTCCAATGTATAAAAATAAAATGCAATTCATTTGAAACTAGTCAGCTGTCTAACCCAGCTAAGGGCAAGCGATGTCTACCTACCTTCCCATTTTGCAGACACTAGTGGATACATGCGGTTGACTGTAGCCGGCCTGGCTTAGAAAGCTCCGGACATGTAAATGCTTCGTAATGTTTTGCACACAGTTGCTCCGAATCTTCGTTGTCTTGGTTGGGTCATATGTGGTAGAATCAACTGCATATTTTACACATGACCATTGAAAACAGACTCTGTGAAGGATTTATTCCATGAAGTCATACTCTTTCCTCTTTGGAGCTTTGGCCAGTGAAATTTTATTCCTTTATATGAGTGATTTTGGCCCAAAGAAGCTTTTTCCCGCTCTGCCTGCATAAGCCACGCTTGCCCGAGTCTGCTTGGATTCCAGCTGTAGAGGTTTGGACCTGCTGCAGAATCCTTCATATTACTGGATAAGGGTCCAAGTGTGTGAAACCCTTTGGCTTTAGGTTTATATTTTTCTAGTTCTTCTTGTTTGGATTCTTTTTTTTATCCAGCGACATTATTTTAATAGTCCATTTGCAGGGAGATTAATTATACCCTTGGCATATCTGCTTTCCCATTTGAAAATTTCCTTTCTGTGACAGGATTGGAAAATAATAGAAAACAGTTCATAGAGCTGCCTTAGTTACCTAGACAACAAAATGAAGACATAACTGGCTACTTGGCTTCTTTCCCCTCTTTTTCTAAACTACCTTCCAAATACAGTAACTTTCATCCCCAAAACTGTGCATCTGGTTGAAGTTATTACTTTCAGATTACTAGTTGACAATTACTATATTCGTTTTGCTATTGTTTGCTTTCAAAGATATTCTGTTACCTTGTCAGATTATATTAGATGGATTAGGTGACATCCTTTTTAAATTTTTTTTAAGTTTATTTATTTCTTCTAAGAGAAAGAGAGAGACTGAGAGATAGGCATCCCCACAAGGATTCCCGTGCCATGATCCACCACATAGTCCCAGTGCAAAGCGTGGGCGTGTACCACCCAGCATGCTCACAGAAGCCCTGGGATGCGAACCCAGAACCTTTCCCTTGTGAGCCCAGTTCATGCACTATCACCTGACCCTACTGTATTAGTTTTTTAGCCAGAGTATTAGGTACTCTGATTATAGTCTAAGAACAAAGCAGTATTCGTTTCCTCTTCAAGTTTTCTTTTCAATTATTGGGTCATTGGAAAAGTCATGACATATTTTTCTGTATGTTTCTAGGCAGAAATGCATCATGGCTTTTCAGATGACCTAGTATTTTAAAACATTCCACAGGGGGTCCAGAAGGATTAAGGTCATTAAGGTGCTGGAATCCTACATGGTCAACTGCAGTCGAGTTCCAGACCCTGTGGCTTGAAAATCACATTGAGTGCATGTGTGTGCACACATGCCCAAAATCCCAGGAGGATAATGGAGGAGAAAGGATTGTGGCATGGCTATCCCCTCTCCCCCTGGAACTGACTTTTCATTTTCCCTCTCACTGTCTCTCTCCAGGGAGCTTATGTGCCCTATGGCAAAATCACCAAACAAAAACAAACAATCCCACGGGTAGACCTAGCCTCTGTGGCTCAGGCTACAGTATGCTTCCCTCCTGCAGTGCTGTAGACACATGACTAACTGGCGGTTCAAATCCTGAAACGGTCTATGGGCATGTGCACTTCAGATGCTGACTAACTGGAGGGCAGGGGGAAGGTGACTTTCATGTGACCAGACGCCACCGAGAGTGCCTGCCTTTGTCTCTCTGTTGTTCATTCTCATGAATAAAGCAATAAGCAAAAAATTGGCCCAGCCAGGTGGTACAGCCCATAGCATCCTCAACTGCAGTGCTGGAGGCCACATGGCTACCATGGGTTTGGATCCCTAGGTCAGACTGAAAACATGGTGGGTGCACCTGTGGCCGCCCAAGATCCTGAAGAGCAAGAGGTCTGGGGATGGGAATCAGGGTGAGATGAGACCTCTGAGGACATTTTCTTGCCTTTTTCCTTTCTTTCTTCCTCTTTCTTCTTTCTCACTCACTCACTCACTCACTCACTCACTCACTCACTCACTGTTCCATGTGTGCACATGCAATACATCGTGAATAAAGAAATAAGCATGAATAAGTTTTAAGGTAAAAATGATTGAATTTTATTTTTTTTTTTGGGGGGGGAGTGGTTTTCGCTATAGGGCGCGTGCGCTTGCCAGACAGACAGAGACATAGAGACAGAAAGCAAGAAATCACCCCCCAGGGGGGATGGTCACGCCGCAATCCCTTCTCCTCCATTCTCCTCTCGGGATCTTGGGCACGCATGCACATGCGCCCGGCATGAGATTTAAGCCACCGGGTCTGAGATGCAAACCGCGGTCGACTACGTGGGAGTCCAGCGACATAGCCATTACGCTAACTGCTGGTTCCTGAATTTCAATTTTTGAACCATGCAGTTTTTGTCTCAGGAGGACAACTTTGGAACTAAGGTTTTGAACTAGCATTCTCAAATGTGTTAAGTCACACACACACACACACACACACACATATACAAAGCAAAAGTTTTATTGGTGTGAGTCATTACAAAAGTCTGTGACTTCTGTCTGGGTTGTGCAGTGTTTCCATAAGAGGGGGACTTCAGTGGGACCAGCAGTTAGCATAATGGCTATGTTGCTGGACTCCCATATAGTCGACTGCAGTTCCAGTCCCAGACCCGGTGGCTTAAACTCACGCTGGGCGCATGTGCGTACATGCCCAAGATCCCAAGAGGAGAATGGAGGAGAAGGGATTGCGGCGTGGCCATTCCCCCTGGAGGGTGATTTCTCGCTTTCTGTCTCTCTGTCTCTCTCTGTCTGTCTGGTGAGGGCATGTGCCCTATGGCAAAAACCTCTCAAAAAAAAAAAAAAGGTGGACTTCAGCATCAGGTAATGCAGTAACACCCAGACATGGCACTCGTGTTGGAGGAATGATGTCAGACGTGTCATACGCCTGGATGTCACAGCATTCTGCAGCCAGTGGACTAAGAAGGATTGCATTTGCTTATTTCACGTTCTCTTTAATTCACCTAGTACCTCCTGTTTTCTTTCTGAACTTAACATGAACACGTCTCTATGTGAACACTTCCCTACATACACTCCCGAGTCCATTTTGTTGCTTGTATTTTAAAGTCCTGTAAAGCCTAGACAATAGATATCGATTAGTAATTGTAAGATCAAACATCATAAATCAAACTTTTCGTTTTTGATCCTAGTAATCATGATTTTTAGAAATTTGAAAGCTTTCAAAGAACTGAATAATATCTTCAAAGTTTATGAAAAAAATCTTATTGTTTTATTGGGTCATCAGAAAAGTTGATGCATTTTTTTGCATAGAAAAATAGAAAAATACATTATGACTTTTCTGATGATCTAATAGTTTAGAAGAGCATTGTTTTGCACCAGAGATAATGGGGGTGTGATTTGTTCAACCCCTTGGTAAACTGATTTGCAGAACATTCAAGAGCTCTAAGATTATTCATAGCCCAGACCCAGTAATTTCATTTCTTGTAAGTGTTACTCTTAAACATATGAAGATATTCATATGAAAAAAACAGAAAGAAAGCCTTCCTCATGACCTGATTTGAAACATATAGGTAAAAACATGGACTTGTCCATAGCTACAGAAGAGTAAGGATTATTTTCAGGGCAATGTAAACTGAGATTTTAAAAGTTTCTTTATTCTGAAAAAGAGAGAGAGAGAAAGCAAGAAGGACACCCCCACCCCCAACACACACACACACACACACACACACACACACACACACACATGCCCTCTGTGTGGATCTTAACATTAAGGACCAGTGTTATAGTCTACTCAGCAAGAAGTAAGAAGACATCCAGAAATAGCCATATTTATTGGGGGTTTTATTGATTAAACTGGTGGCATACAGGGGGGACTCATGTCTCTCAAAACCCTGCAGCCCCCAGTGAAGGAAGGGAACTTATATAGGCAAAAATTCACATTCTTTTCCTGGATGATGTGAGACATGATGATTCACAAAGACAAGGTGTGGTGGGCTTGAAAGTGTAGGGAGTAAGGTTTTACATTGTAAAAGCAAAAGCGCGTTACAGAAGCAGACCGAGCAGGTTAATCATTCCTAAGAGTATGTTCCATCCTTGCCTGAACACAATGGAACACAATGGAACCCAATGGTCAAACACAATGGTCTCCATGGCTCCAGGTGTGGGCTGGTGACTGGTGATTTTATCTGAGAGCAACCAGGAGGAATGGGGTTTTGCTCCAACTCACTGATTTAGCAGATATATTAATCATTCTAGCTACCTTAGTAAAAGAAAGCCACTTTCCAGTCATAGGAAGGAGTATACGAGTTCATAATGGAGGCGCTCCTCCAAGATGGAGTTGCGCATGCTTCACCAGGATAGGGATTTATCTACAAGATAGAAATATAGAATGAGATGTGAAAACATAATTTCAGTATGGAGGATCTAAATGTTGTTCATAGCAGGGATGTTCTAGAGCAGTGATTCTCAACCAGGAGTGATTTTTATCCCGAGAGACCTTCGGCCATATCCAGGCACTCTGACTTGCTTGGGGTGGAGAGTGGGTGTGCTACTGACATCTAGTGGGGAAATCAGGGAGGCGGATCAACCCTGCTGGAGATGGCGCTGCTACCCACACCAAGAACTGCCCAGCCCAATGGTCACCGCTGCTGAGGAGGGGACACCAACTCTAAAGAAAGTTTCAGGTATGATTATATTACCCCAGTTATTAACTTACAAGGGTAAGGAGACTGAAAGAAATAGGTAAACACTGACTATGCTGTTGCTGTGCTCATGGGATGAACTCACACATGTACTATATTTGAACTGCAAAAGAAGGTAGGAGAGTCTGGTGTAAGGATAATCATGTACTGGGGACACGTTCTGTTCTCCAAGTGGCTCCACATACTTTCACACCCACCACTAAGTTATTCCGTAAATATAACAAGAAATTGGGAAAACTATGAAATAGTATAAATGAGTTCACATCCATTCTCAAATAGATCTACATGAAAATATATGATCATAAGAGGCATTTCTCCCTCAGCTTTGTCATCATTGAGAAATAAATGCCGTTTATATTTATGTGTACAACATGATGTTTCGATCCATGTATACATTATGAAATGACTAAATCAAGCTAATGGATCTGTTACCTCACCTACTTACCATTTTTGGTGTGATAAGAACATTCAAGATCTACCCTCTTAGTGATTATCAAGCATAAATTACATTATTATTAATGATAGTCACCATGCTGGACAATTGACCTCCAGAACATTTTATCCTGTCTGACTGAAACTTTGTACCCATCAGTTTCTCCCTGTACCCACCATGAGGTGTTGTTAATACCTGATACAGTCAGGCTTTCCTCATCTGTGAATTCAGCCAACCACAGATTGAAAGTATATGGCTATGATTAAAACAACACCAAAGAACAAGTGCTGGTGAGGTTGCAGAGAAAAAGGAACTTTTGTACAGTCTTGGTGGGAATGCAAACTAATACAATCACTGTTGAAAACAATATGAGAGTCCTCCCAGCTTTTTATTTACTTACTTATTTTAAGATTTATTTATTTATTTTACTTTTACAATTAAAGTATGAATTTATTTTGGTACAAAAAGTTTTTGAAATTCATGCATAGTTTTCCCATTACACATATTTCCATAAACTTTTTTTCTGAAATATTTTTTCTTAATTAATTTACATTCATTCCCTGAGCATCATCACAGCATACAAAATGTGATTTCCCGTCCAGAATATACTGCATAGTGACTTAATCATGCACGTTATTGTCAATCATTTTCCATTTCTAGTTTCATATATATATTTTTTTTACCCTATGTCTGACCCTCTGCCCTTTCCCACCCTCTTGTCATACTATCTCTGCTGTCTACAGTTGTCTTCAATTCCTTTTCCCCCCACATTTTGTTGATCACACAATTTCATAAGTAATCTAACTACTTTGAATAGCAAGTTTGGCTGATAATTCCAAGAAAAGCAGTTTTGAACTGGTAAGGAAATTTCCTTGAAACTTAAAGTCTAAAAACAGGTTAGTATTCTGTTCAAATAGTAGGTACATGAACCTATTGACAGCTGAAGACAGGACAAAAACCCTTAAAACTGGACAACAAAGCTTAGAAGAAAAGCAGCAATATTTTAGTCAAGTCACAGAATGCTTTTTCACCAGTTCAGTCTCATGTACTTAATCTATCTTTGTTTATCTGAGAATGTTCTTATCTTTTCTTCCCATGTGAAGGATAATCTTGTTGGGTACAGTATTCTCAGTTGAAATTGCTTTTCCCTTAACACTTTGAATATATTTTCCCATTCTTTCCTCACTAGTATTGTTTACGATGAGAGGTCTGCCATTTGTCTGATGGGATATCCTTTGTAGGTAACTTGCCGTTTTTCTCTTGCCAATCTTAGTATCTTGTCTTTGTCTGTGGTTTTGGTCAGTTGGGCTGTAATGTGTCTTGGAGAAGATCTTCTTGGGTTGATTCTATTTGGGGTCCGTTGTATTTCCTGGAACTGGATCTTCGAGTGCCTCTCTAGGTTTGGTAAGTTTTCTTGCAGGATTTCATGGAATAGATTATCAATGTCTTCATGAGTCTCTTTGCCTTCTGGGATGCCAATTATCTGGATGTTTGGACATTTGGTGGTATCTAGTATGTCTCGTATATTATTCTCATTTTTGGAAGCAGTTTTCTCAGTCTTTGTGGTGGATTTTTCCAAGCCAGTGATTTTATCTTCTACACCTGAGATTCGATTTTCTGTATGATCTAGCCCACTTTTAATATGTTCAAGGGAGATTTTGACTTCCTGTATGATAGTCTTCATCTCCAACAGGTCCATTTGATTCTTTTTTATAGTGTGTATTTCCTCTTTTAGATCTTGCAAGAATTTCCTCACCTCCTGGAACTCGTCAGTTCCTTTCTCCTGCGTCTTCTGCGGTTCATTTTCTCTCTTCTCTTCCATCTCTGTTAGCTTCATCATTACGAATATTCTAAATTCTTTATCAGACATTTCCATGATTTCTTTTGAACTGTCTGTGGATGAAGAGGAGTTATTGGAGGGGAGGGATCCCACAGTGATTTCTAGTCATCTGATAGATGGTGTGTTTCTTCCAAATACTTGAAGTTCAACCTGAGCATTCAGGAGTGTGCAGAGGAGGTGATCTGGAATCTCTTTGCCATACCATTTTTATCCCTTGTGCAGCAGATTCAGTGGGTATTGAGAAATATGTTAACCCTAATAGTATTTGGATGTTTGGCTATGGTTCCCTTACATTCATCTAAAAACACAGTGAATGGAGATTGAGGAGCAGAGTGTTGAGATAAAAGAAAAAGAGAAGGAAATAGAGAGAGAAAAAAGAAAGAGAAAAAGAAAGCAAAAAAAGAGAGAGAGAAAGAAGGGGAAAAAAACTACCAAAAAAAATTAGTTTTCTTTTTTTTTTTTTAAAAAAGCAAAAACTAAAATACTGTGTGGCATGCTCAGGAGCAATGGTGGAGTCTTCTTCTGAAGGCCTGCCCCTTGCCTCTCCTGGAAAATGAAATTATTAGCAAGATAAAGGAGGAACTGAAAACCAAGAGAATACTTTCCCTTAATAAAATTTTAAAAAGGAAAAATTACAAAAAAAAAAAGAGAAGACAGAGAGAGAGAGAGACAGAGATAGAAACAGAGAGAAAGCTAGAGGGATTCCCTACCACTCGAGTTTGGGGGCTGGAGGCTGAATTATCAGTAGAAAATCTTCATTTCTCTTTTTTTGCCCTGAAATCACTAGTTCTCAGGAGCAAGGATGGAGTCTTCTGTTAAGATGAATTTTATTTGTTATTATTATTTAATTTGACCAGAGAGAGACAGACAGAGAGAAAGGGGAAGTGAGAAACAAGCCACCAGGTCTGGGACTACAATCATGGTTGGCCATGTGAGAGTCCTGCATCTTAACTACCGCGGCACCTGCAGGCCCCCTCCCCAGCTTTTAAAATAGAATTATCTGTGACCCAGTAATCCCACTCCTGGGTGTATACTCAAAAAACAACAAATCACTCTTTGGGAGAGACAGTTGCACATCTGTGTAAATTACAGCACTTCTACAATAGCTAAGACATGGAATCAACCCGACAACAAATGACTGGATTAAAACGTGTGGCACCTATACTCTAGGGAATACTGCCCAGTCGTAAACAACAGTAAGATCTTGTGATTTGATACAAAGTGGATGGTAATACGGTAGTATTTGGGACCAGCAGTTGGCATAATGACTATGTTGCTGGACTCCCATGTAGTTGACTGGGGTTTGAGTCCTGGACACGGTGGCTTAAACTCACGCCGGGCATGTGTATGTGTGTGCCCAAGATCCTGAGAGGAGAATGAAGGAGAAGGGATTGTGGCATGGCCATCCCCCTGGGGGTGGGGGGTGATTTCTTGCTTTCTGTTTCTCTGTTTCTCTCTGTCTTTCTGGTGAGTGCACGTGCCCTACAGAAAAACAAACAAACAAAAAAAACCTCTCAAAAACATATAATAATATTTGCTCAATTTTGCATTTAATTAGAAGAAGGATGTAGTTTAAAAAAATATGGAAGTTTGACTTGCAAGATCAGAGCCAACACCTACATTTCCACCCTCTTTCTCCCAGCTCCCACCTAATGCTTCAGTGAGACAGCAGCACCCTCACTTTCCTTGGTGGCCCTGAAATGGTCTGGGTGGAACTTGGGGTCCAGAAGGTGGTGGTTAGAATTCTGGTTAACTCATTGATTTGCTACAAGATGTTGAAGCAACTTTGGATTCATAAGCAAGTAATACATAGTAGATGCTAATCTCCGCCCCTGTCCCTTTAAAGAATTTAGAGATCCAAGAATGATGTGAAACATATATATATTTAAATTTTACTAAACTTTTTGCTATAGGGTGTGTGCACTCGCCAGAAAGACAAAGAGAGACAGAGAGACAGAAAGTGAGAAATCACATCCTAGGGGGGATGGCCACACTGCAATCCCTTCTCCATTCTCCTCTCGGGCTCTTGGGCATGCACACACATGTGCCTGGCGTGAGTTTAAGCCACCGGGTCTGGAACTTGAACCATGGTCAAACTACATGTGAGTCCAGTGATATAGCCATTATGCCAACTGCTGGTCCCTGAAACATATTTTTAAACATAGAAAGAGTCCTAGATTATTTGTGATGTTCTAAGACATTTTATCATGGATATTTTTAAAGAAGCTGAAAAATAGAGAGAGTGGTATAACAATTCCTCCTATTCTCATTATCAAAACATTTTTCCAGGGAACCAACAGTTAGTGTAATGGCTATGTCGCTGGACTCCCACATAGTTGACCGCGGTTCGCGTCCCGGACCCGGTGGCTTAAAACTCACACCAGGTGCGTGTGCGTGCGTGCGTGCCCAAGATCCCGAGAGGAGAATGGAGGAGAAGGGATTGCGGCGTGACCAACCCTCACTTTCCTTGGTGGCCCTGAAATGGTCTGGGTGGAACTTGGGGTCCAGAAGGTGGTGGTTAGAATTCTGGTTAACTCATTGATTTGCTACAAGATGTTGAAGCAACTTTGGATTCATAAGCAAGTAATACATAGTAGATGCTAATCTCCGCCCCTGTCCCTTTAAAGAATTTAGAGATCCAAGAATGATGTGAAACATATATATATTTAAATTTTACTAAACTTTTTGCTATAGGGTGTGTGCACTCGCCAGAAAGACAAAGAGAGACAGAGAGACAGAAAGTGAGAAATCACATCCTAGGGGGGATGGCCACACTGCAATCCCTTCTCCATTCTCCTCTCGGGCTCTTGGGCATGCACACACATGTGCCTGGCGTGAGTTTAAGCCACCGGGTCTGGAACTTGAACCATGGTCAAACTACATGTGAGTCCAGTGATATAGCCATTATGCCAACTGCTGGTCCCTGAAACATATTTTTAAACATAGAAAGAGTCCTAGATTATTTGTGATGTTCTAAGACATTTTATCATGGATATTTTTAAAGAAGCTGAAAAATAGAGAGAGTGGTATAACAATTCCTCCTATTCTCATTATCAAAACATTTTTCCAGGGAACCAACAGTTAGTGTAATGGCTATGTCGCTGGACTCCCACATAGTTGACCGCGGTTCGCGTCCCGGACCCGGTGGCTTAAAACTCACACCAGGTGCGTGTGCGTGCGTGCGTGCCCAAGATCCCGAGAGGAGAATGGAGGAGAAGGGATTGCGGCGTGACCATCCCCCCTGGGGGGTGATTTCTCGCTTTCTGTCTCTATTTCTCTCTCTGTCTGTCTGGCGAGCACACACACCCTATAGCGAAAATGTCTCAAAAAAAAAAACCAAACATTTTTCCAATCATTTTTTACTTACCAACCAGCCTTAATTTTTTTTTCTTTCATTTCCTGAAGCATTTTTAAGAAAAGCACAGATATCAGGTCATTAAACTCACGAATATTTCAGTATGCAAGTAAATCTTTTAAAATTATATCTACTAATCTTTTCTTAGTCCCACTCCCTCCTTATTAGATTAGGAAACTAAGAGGGTTAGTGATTTGCTGAAGGCCACGTAATTAAGTGGCAGAAGGAGAATGAGAACCTTAGTATTCCTAGTTCTTAATCTTGTATTTGTTCCCCATAACATGTCGCCTCTGAGGAGTATGTATTGAGTAACTGTCTTAGTTCATCCAGGTTGCTTTAACAGAATACCATCAACTGGGTGGCTTATAAACAACAATTTTTTCTTTTTTGGAAATTTTTTTGCTACAGGGTGTGTATACTTGCCAGAAAGACCGAGAGAGACAGAGAGACGGAAAGCGAGAACTCACCCCCCAGGGGGGATGGCCATGCCACAATCTCTTCTCCTCTATTCTCCTCTTGGGATCTTGGGCACGCACACACACGTGCCAGCGTGAGTTTAAACCACCAGATCAGGGACTCGAACTGCGGTCAGTACATGGGAGTCCAGTGATGTAGCCATTACGCTTACTGTTGGTCCCTAAACAACAAATTTTAATAAAAGATTCCCACCAAAGAAAAGCCTAGGACTGGATGACTTCACTGCTGAATTCTACAAAATCTTTAAAGAAGAACTAATAGCAGTTCTCCTCAAACTATTTCAAAAAACTAAAGAGGGAATCCTCCCAAACTCCTCCTTTAAAGCCAGCACTATTCTGATACCATCATCAAACAAACATACAACCACAAAGGAAAAATATAGACTAAAATCCCTGATGAACAGAGACACGAAAGTTCTCCATGAAACACCAGCCAACCAATTCCAATATCACATTATTAAGACTGCACACCGCCATCCAGTGGGATTTATCTCAGGGAGTACGGCGGTTGGTTGTGCCTGCTGACTGTCTCCCTGGAACCTGGTTGCAGAAATCAATTCCTCCAGCCATTGCACTGACCACCAGTCGAAGCGGCTGGACTTACTTTGCTGGTAACAATATCATCATATTAAGGGATGCAACAAAATTTGATAGCCCTTTATGATAAAAACCTACAACAAATTAGGTATCGAAGGCACTTACCTCAACACGGTTAAGGCCATTTATAGGGGTTGAAAGCTTTTTCTCTAAGAACAAATAGGACCAGGAAATCCACTTTCTCTGGTCTAATTCACCACAGTACTTAAGTCCTAGACAGACTAATTAGTCAAGACAAAGAAAAGAATGGCATCTAAATGAAAAAGGAGGAAGTCATATTGTCCCTGTTTACAGATGACGTGATCTCATAAAAAGTCTACACCAAAAAACTCTTAGACTTGATAAACGAGTTCAGTAAAGTTGCAGGATATGAAATCAACACACGAAAATCCATAGTGTTTTTATACACTGATAATGAAGTGGCTGAAAAGGAAATGTAAAAAGAAATCTTACTATAGCTACAAAGAACATAAAACACCTAGGAATAAATTTAATCAAGGGGGGGTGTAAGATCTCTAGAATAAAAACTATAAAACACTTAATTTGGTCTCCAGAGATTTTTCTTGCTTTTTACTGAAGAAAAGATACAGAATGGGTTCTTTACATGCAGAAGGCTATATTTTAGATTTAAACAAATTAATTAAAATACTTTTACAGAGGTATAATGAACATACAAAAAAGCCACATATTTAGAGTATACAATGTGTTATTTCTTTTTTCAGAGAGAGACAGAAAGAGATGACATCCCCAACAGAGTCTTGGGTTTTGCACCCTGACCTGGTGGGTAGAGAGAAAGAGAGAGGGAGAGAGAGGGGAAGAGAGGAAGCATCTCCAGAGTGGCATGGTCGTGCCACAATCTCTTCCCTATTTCTTCCTTCTTTTGGGATTTCTGGGCACGCATGCACATGTGCCTGGTGTGTCCCAGGCTTGAACTACATGGTTTGCCATGTGGGATCTGGCTGCCTTAACCACCATGCCATAGATCGACCCTAAACTTGTACTTTAATTCCATTTTTCTGCACACTTTTTAAGTCCCTGGCATTTCCGCTTTATTTTAGCGATATGTTCATCTCCTCTTGTAGTCTGCTTGTAGATCGTTGCTCTCAGAAGCTGCGTGGCTGGCTTTTCCACTTACCTGGCTCTACGTGATCCCTTTGAAGAAAGAGAATCTAAAGGCTGAGATGAGGGACCCTATTTTTAGGTTTAGACTTAGCAAAAACCCCCATCTGAAGCAGCACAGCTGCCATTAATCTCCAGTTATTTGTAACTAGAAACGCAGAGCTGCATGCATCACGCCGTCTGGTCTGCGAGGACATGCCCATGGGGAACCCTGGTTAGAAAACGTTTTTCTGTGTGAGTGTAACAGCTTTTAAGTTGCCTCAAGATACGGCGCTGTTTCCCACATTTTCTCAGAATGGGTTGGCTGGTGGCAGGACTGGGTGGAGGGACCTTGGCCATGCTGACTCTTGCTTGGGCTTTGGCGAGGCCTTGTCGACTTGCCGTTCCTGCAGAAAGAGGCAGCAGTGTGAATCGTCCCATGAATTAGTGGGTTGAAGCCCCATTCTCTTATGGTGACTCTTGCCAAGTGGTATTATTAAATTATTTTGTTATTTTATAGGTAGCCACCTTATCACTGTAAAAACATGACAGTCCACAGAGCAAGAAGGGTTTAATATCCTCCCCCTTTCCCTGGGTATTATTTTTTAGAGAAGAAGTTGTACAAAAGTCTTCAAAAAGCCCTTTATCAGTGAGAGAGCGATCTCTCTTTCTCTGCACAATCAAGATGAAAGCTGTCTGAGGGGAAGCGCTGTTTCTAGCTCCTGGGACTGGGAGTCTTCCAGGATGCTGGTAAGACATACAAAATGGGAAGAAGTATCTGTTCTGTGAGAAGAAACAGAAACAAAAGCACTTTCTAGTTGTGTGAGTACTGTGAGGGTGAATCTGGTTATTGGCTTAATAAATGGAGGTTATGCAAATGGCATTGATTGTCACCTCCATTAGACTAAAAACGGGATCTGCCTAAAGAGGAAAGCAAATGGACCTGAGGAAGCAGGTCCAGAAATTGAAACTGTGGGGGCCGGCAGGTGGCATGGTGGTTGGGGGCATTGGACTCCCACCATGGCCAACTGTTGTTCAAGTCCTGGACTTGGCAGCTTGCTTTCTCACTTTCTCTCTCTCTCACTCTGTCCTTCTCTGGTCAAAAAGTAAAACAAATAAATAAAGTTATATAAAATAATTCTTTAAAAAAACCCAAAAACTGTGTTAACCTTCCATGGTAATACTTGGTAATCCTTCATGGGATGCTGAAGAGGTCTGTTCAGAGCAAGGGTGGGCTGGGCTGGGAGTGCTGGGGCCCAGCTGGGGTGGTGGGTCTTCTTAGTCCCAGAGGCACACCCTGCAGAGGTCAGTGGTTCCAGCTTTCCCACCACAAACAACCCGGTTGGCTGTTTTGACCCTGTAAATACAACGTTTTGAGAGACCTTATTAGCTTTCTAAACTGCATTATCTCAGGTGTAAGGTTGGGAGCCCCTGGGTGTGTCTACAGGGAAAGGAGGCTGACTGGGGTGTGAGTCCTGCTTCGGGGTTACTGGCTCTAGGACCAGGGTAAAGCTAAGGAACCTCTTTAAACCTCAGTTCCATTTCTCCTCCCCTCCCTCCTCCTCTCCTTCCCCCGTGCCCCTCCCCCCCTCCCACCGCCTCCTTCCTTCTCCAGGAAAAGGGAGAGGATATGAAACTCTTCTTCTTCCCCTCTTCTTCCTCTTCCCTCACCTGCCTCCTTTCCTCTCTCTTCCCTCTTCCGTCCCCTCCCTCCCCTCCCCTCCTCTTCTATCCTCTCTTTTTCTTCCTTCTCTCTTTCTTTTCAAAAAGAAGGAGCACTTCCTCAATCTGTGTGTCATCCTCTCTCAGGGGCCATGCTGACTGTATCATTCCAGGTTTAGTATTGGGTCACCAAGAAAGTCATGACCCATTTTTGCATAGAAAGACCTAGAAAAATACATCATGACTTTCCCGATGACCTACCATATGTCCTGCCAAAGTGAACACAAGCCTCAGTTTCTTTGTGGGCTTGTGATAAGTATAAGAAGAAGACTTCGAAAATGAGTGGAAAGGTGCAGTTCATATATGAATTTATTTTAGTGCAAAAATATTGAATCTATGCACACGTTCTTCATAATACGCATTTTCCATGAGTGTTGGAAGACCCCTCATGTGTATGGCTTAGAGCTGTGCCTGGGACGTGGTAGAAGTGAAACCCGAGCTGTAATGCTGACGGCGATGACATGGATGCTGTCATCATCCTCATCACCATCATCGTCGCCATCATTATCGGAACAGACCAGACAGGGCTGGCCCGTCTGAGAGTTGACATCATTCCCACGCGCCATGCCCGAGGGGCTATAGCACACTCGGGTCCCAGTGAGGCTGCTGCTTTGGGAGTGGGAACAGGAGTCTGGCTTTAAGATGCTCTGTTCGGGTACAGAGCTCTTCACCCATTTTGCTTGGGCTGTCGAGGACGGAGAGCAGGCTTTAGTTAGGAAGTCATATTGAAGGAGGGAGCTACTGAAACTGGATGAAAAGAAACCAAATAAAGAGGAGAGAAGGGATCAGGGTTCAGGTCAGGGAATCTGGGCTTCAAATTGTTCCCAGAGGAGAAATCATATCCTTGTAAAACCAAGCCTGGGCCAGCAGGTAGCGGGCTAATAAAGGCTCTGGATCCCACATGGCCTACTCCATGGTTAGAGCCTGGACCTGGTGGTTTGACAAACACTCCAGAGTGTGTGTGTCCATGCCCCAAATCCTGTGAGCAGAATGGAGAAGGGATTGCAGCATGGCCAGCCCCTGCCCACCCCTGGGGTGATTTGTCACTTTGTTTCTATCTGTCTCTCTGGTGAGTGCAAAGGGTCTATAGCAAAGTCTAAAAAGCAAAACAAACAAAAAACAAGCCCAGTCATTAAAACTGCCTATAAAGAGCTGTGTTGTGTCCAGGGGGAAGGTGCCGCTGCCAGCAGGCAGACGCTCAGGCGGATCCAGACGTGGGAGCCCGCCTGCCCACAGTCAGATGGTAACAGACAGAGCCTTTGTGTAGGACAAACGCAGGACTTGAACTGGCCAAGCCTGTGGGTTAGAGGGCTTGACCTCTTAGAGGCCTTCACCTGCTAGAGTGGGGAAGGAAGGGATCTACAGAAATGAGTTTTTCCACTTGTGTTACCATTATTTTTCTATTTCCCCCCTGCTTCACCCAGACTTTTACCAAAGATTTGCCATTATCACAGGCATATAAGAAATTTCTCATCATGCTGACGTGGTGGTGATGCTGAAAGCAATCAGGGTAAGAGTGCACTGCTTCTGGCTGCTTCATCGGGCTGCTGCTGGCTTCCAGGTCACTGGTGTGCCGGACACTCAGTGCACAGTGGCGAGGGAGCCACTCACACCCCACAGGTCCTGTGAGGCCATCAGCAGTGAATCAGCTTAGGCCATCAGGACCTGTCAGTGCAGCCACACAGATTTCATCGTGATTCTAGCGGAAGTCAGTTACCTTTAAAATATATAGTCAGCCTGCCCCATGGTGGGGAACTTACCTTTCTGCTGGGTCTTTTAAATGCTGATAATGACTCTTATACAGCTAAGGGAACTTCTTGCCAAATGATCGGCTGCTGCGGAATCGGACTCGTGTAGCCATCACCCGTCTCCTGGAACTCTCTGGCTCTAAGACCTCACTTACTGGTTCTCATCTTTCCCCTCATTCCTCCCACTGTCCTTAATGGAATTCCTTTTTTCTTACCCCGACAGTTCTAATGTTGCCCTGGATTGTTTATTCAGGCACCTTCTTTCCCTGTGTGTACTCTCTCTACTAATCTTCTCATTCTCATGATTTGAATGACTACATTTTCTTGCGCATGGAGGGCTCCTCATTCTCTCTACATCTCTGGCCTAGCCTATCTGGATTTATAGATCTCTATTCTCATTGGTAACTAGACCTTTCCTTTGGGGGAGTCCAGAGGAAAGTGTGAATGTGTCCCCCCAAATTCACGTGTTGAGTTACTGTAAAGTTACTAAGAGAATTGAAGACCTGATTCACTTATGGTGTGTAATAATGGAGCCTTTGGGAAGAGATAGGATTAACATCATGGGGTGGGTGTCTCCAGATTGAGTTCTGGTGGGTTTATAAGGAGAGGGATGGAGACCAGAATGGAGCATCCCATGGATAGCCTTTCTGCTCTGCTCTTGTCCCCGTGATGTGATGGAGGTTTTGCAAGATGCTCATCAACAGCCTCTGGGCCCTGGACCTCCACACTGCGAGCTGAATAAAGCCGTATTTTTATAAACCACCCAGTTAAAGTTATTTTCTTTTATCAGCAACAAAATGGACTAGCACACCCACATATGCCATAAGGGCTCAGCTATTTTTTACATTGATTTTCCTGGTGGCTTAAAATAATCATAATTTATCTCCCTGTCCCCACCCAGAGCTCAGGGCTCATGGACCTTCCTTTTAGAGCCTCACCAAGGTAGACTCTGAACAAAACGAGAACTTGTTCACAAGAAGTAAAGGCTGTGGATTAGCTGACTACCCGTGTCTGCTCTCATCCACGCCCCACTAAAATTCATATAATCAATTCTTTGTCTGGCATGCAAAGTCCTCCACAATCTAGACTTGGGCTACTGTTAAATTATTACCTTCTTCTTAAATGTACCTTATGCTCTGATTATTTCGGGTCCCCTTTTTCAGTGCATGCCCAGAACATTCCCATCTCCTCGTCACTGGTCATGGATCACTTCTCGGGTGCCACCGTCCTATTTTTCTCGGTCCATTAAAATCCTACTTTTTCAAAATCTCTCTCAAAAAGCCACTTCTAACTTGAAGCCATATATAGACAACTTGGATCATTTCCTAGTTTTATTTATTTCTTCCACGAAGAGAGCAAGAGCAAGAAGAAGACAGGGCGAGGGAGAGAAAGATTGCACTCCCACAGGATCCTCATGCCGCGATCCACCCCCAGCCTTAGCCAGCCAAGATCGTGCATTCCCGGCGTGTGTAGGGAGGTCTCTGAACGTGAACTCAGAGCCCGCCACCCATGCCCACGTGAGCCAGCCTCCTAGAGGCTGTGCCCCCCTCCGGCCCCCTCTTTCCTTTTTCTCCTTTGAGATCCTGGGATACCATGCTCAGTCTTTCCTGCTGGATTTTCAGTTCCTTGGAAGAGGCCATGCTGAGTCATTTTGGTAATTCCCACTGTGTCAGGCACGCAGTAACTGCCCGACTTCTCTTATTGGATAGATAATGATTTGACGCAAACCTTTTGTGGAGTGTTCACAAAAAAGCCAGATATGCCTCCTACAGCAGGGGAAGCGGTTCTGCACCATCTGGTTTGAGAAAAGCTCCTCCCAGCAGCACACTGAGTGGCCGTACAAGACGCAGGGCCCATTTTTTTTCACGACGCAGGTCCCACGTGCAAGCAGGAAAGGACACACCCTTTTTTCTGAAATTGGTAAAGCTCTTTTTGCACATCGCCATCCTTGCCTTTCTGAATCTTTTTCATCTTCTGGTAGGCATCCCACTTTTTTGGGGGGCATCTTTTAGTTTGGGGTCTATTAGTTCTGACTATACTTGCTTTTCCTTCCCTAGGTCATGTCTCCCGTTCGATGTTAATGTTTTATATGCCAGCTCTTCTGTTCTAATATCCTAAGTACATTCTCATGCATCTGATTTCCATGGTTGGTAATAAAGGCTCCCACAGTAATGGGTGTTGTTGCAGTGCATTCTCTTATGAAGGGAAAGTTTACTGTGGTGCATATTTATTTATAGCAATGAAAGGGCACAGAGTGGGGAAGGATTTTGCAGATATTGACTTAAATAATAACTGATCTATTTTTTAAAAATGCTAATCGACCTGGGAAAGAAACAACAACAATCATTTAAAATAGCCTGTTCATCAGAATTAAAAAATTAAAGCTGGAGTAGAAGGTAAAGGACTCCTTCTCTAAACTATATAGACTTGAATCATCAAAGGGGAAAGTATTTGAAAATCCATATTCTCATTCATAAATAGGCCTGGGGGAGATAGACAGCCCTGCATGTCAGGGAATTAATGCAACTACTGTAAAATTGAAAGGCACCGTTTTGAGCCAATCTGTGTTTAAATATCTGGCCTTTGTGTCAGGCCGATGCAGCCAGAGGTGGTTGAAATTCTGATGCTTCCCTTGTTTCGTTTTTGTCTGGTTCCCTCTGCAACCCTCCTGTTTTCTTCTATGGATACAGAAAGTGGGGATATAGAGTCGGATGGTAAAGAAAGCCCAAGAAGTGCTTGACATGCTAAATGGCGCTTTCATGAGATCCCGCTGCTATGTGGAAGGGGCCCTCTGCACAGAGAGCTGCCGGCCCTGCCTTGTGGAGAGGAGAGCTCAGCGCGTGAACGTGAGGAGCTCAAGTTCTCCTCCTGGTCCTCCTAGATGGGCCTGGAGAGACACAGCAGGAATAGTGGTGAGGGGACATTTGAAACTGGAGCAACGACTTTCTTTCTTTCTTTCTTTCGATGTGCATATTGAATGATGCTCTTGTGAAAAGAGCCGGACGAAGCTATTCAGTAAAATATTAATCGAGCCCCTACTATTTCTGGGTAACATACTTAAGGAATGAGGTCCTAAACATATGTGAGTTTTTATTGTAGAAGAACAAAGTTTGCCTTTTTAGTTCAACATTATTGAAGACCCCTTATAGGGTCTTCAAAAGCTAGGGACATTGTGTATTTTATATATATATATATATAAAACTATGCATGGATTTCAGAATTCTTTTTTTTGCACCAAAATAAAACTCATACTTTAATTTCATTTTTTCATGAGCTTTTTGAAATCTCCTTGCATTTTACTCATTTTAGATGAAAATATATTTCACATTTTCAAGGTCCCTTAAGTAGTCGACGTGGAATGTAATTAGATCCTATCTTGACTCCCCACCTACAGCAGT